TGATGATTTGAGAAGGATCAAAGTTCAGGGGATGCCTTGGATGATTTCTGGTGACTTCAATGTTATTAGGAGCCTACTGAAGCCTCAAATGTAATGCATTATAGCTCTAGTATGAAGGATTTTGGAAGCTGGATTCTAGAGTTGGAATTGGAAGATCACCAAGCCACAGGTCCTTGGTTTACTTGGCTAAACAAGCAGGATGCTCGGCTTATTGCGAAAAAGCTAGACAGAGTTTTAGTTAATATTGAATGGTTGGATAAAAAACCGGGAAGCTCTGTTCATTTTCAGAAGCCAGGGATTTCAGATCACTGCCCTAGTTTGGTTGACACTGAGGTTGAAAAGTAGTCAATACTAAAACCTTTTAATTTTTTTCGGTTCTGGACAAGGCATCCAAAGTTTGACCAGTTATTGAAGGAAGCATGGGAGAGTAGGGTGTCTGGCCCTCCAATGATTAAAGTTTATAAGAAGTTGAGAATTCTGAAGAAACTGTTGAAGGAGTTAAATAGGGAGGAATATTCTGAGATAAGGGAAAGGGTCAAGGGGAAGGAGCTTGAACTTGAAGGAATACAGGGAGAGGCTCTTTTAAACCCATCCAGGGAGAATTTTGAGAGAGAATCAGAAGTCTCCAAGGAATTGCATGAGTTGCTTCAAGCAGAGGAGTCGTTCTTAAGGCATAAATCAAGGGAGCTCTGGCTTAAAAAGGGGGATTCAAACACTCCTTAGTTCCATAGGTCTCTCAAAACTAGGCAAAGAAGAAACACGATTACTATGCTAAAGGATGAAGAGGGTAATAAGGTCACTGGCTTATACAAAATGGGGGATATTGCTGAGGATTTTTATAAGAATTTGCTGGGCAAAAAAGACTCAGATGTGAGGGAGGAGTCTGATGAGTTCTACACTGAGCTTATAAGGAAGAAAATCACAAATGATTAGGGGCTCTGCACCACTGTCACCGCATAAGAGATCAAAGATGTTGTGTTTGCCATGAATGGAGACAAAAGTCCAGGCCAGGATGGATTTTCTGCTGCTTTTTTCCAACATGCTTGGCCAGTAATTGGACAAGAGGTAACATTTGCTATCCAATCCTGTTTCCTTGAGAGTAGGATGCCTAGGAAAGTGAATGCTACTATTTTGACCTTGGTATCAAAGATCCAGAACCCAGATGAAATGAGATTCTTTAGGCCAATTTCTTGCTGTAATACTATATATAAAATCATTGCAAAAGTAATAGCAAATAGGCTCAGAGCTCATCTTCCTCAATTGATAAGTTTAAACCAGACTGCATTCATAAAAGGGATATCAATTGGGGATAACATACTCCTTGCTCATGAGCTGGTTCATAAGTATGCTCAGAAGAATGTCTCCCCTAGATGTGCCCTAAAAATTGACTTGATGAAAGCATTCGACTCTGTGGATTGGCTTTTTATCTTTAAAGTTCTGAAACATATGGGATTCCCTGAGCAGTTTATTGACTGGACGAGGATGTGTGTTAGCACTCCTATGCTCGGTGTGGGTTTGAATGGGGGATTGGTTGGATATTTCTCTGCTTGCAAAGGTTTTAGGCAAGGGTGTCCATTGTCCCCTTACCTATTTGTCATTGCAATGAAATTTTTTTCATGCTTGATTGATAAGGAAGCACAGAAGGGGCACTTCCCCTTCCATCCAATGTGTAAGAAGAGTGGTTTGACACACCTCTGTTTTGCTGATGATCTGCTTGTATTCTCTGACGGATCTAATTATGGGTTCCAACGTTTGAATGAGATCCTGGCTCGGTTTAGGATGCTATCTGGATTAAAAGTGAACCCTAGTAAATGTGAACTGTTTTTTAGGGGGAATTTTTGGTTCTGAACAGAAATTGAGGGCTGACAGGTATGGCTTTGCATTGGGGAAATTCCCTGTGAGGTATCTGGGGGTTCCCTTATCCTCAGGGAAACTCACTGTTTCAGCTTGTAAGCCACTTATTGATAAGATAGTTGCTCGAATTAGCAGTTGGAAATCTCGGTTCCTTTCATATGCTGGCAGGGTGGAACTGGTTAATTCAGTTCTGTACAGTTTGCACCAATACTGGATGGCAGTCTTCCTTCTCCCAAAAGCAGTGATTAGGGAATAGAGAGCAACTATAGTAATTTCTTATGGGGGGTAGGTCAGAGTGGTAGGGTTAAAGCAAAAATTGGCTGGAAGAATCTCACTTATCCTAAGAAGGAGGGGGTCTGGGGCTAAGAGATTTAGCTAGTTGGAATGTAGCCTGTGTTACAAGACATATTTGGCTCCTTTTACTGCAACATGGCTCTTTATGGGTAGCATTGATTAGCTTATATAAACTAAAAGGCCAGGACTTATGGGCATATGGTGGTGGTTCTGGGTCTTAGAATTGGAAGAGAATTTTGAAAGTGAGGCATAAGGTAAGAGGGCATTTTCATCAGCAAGGGCAAGATGTCTTTTGGGACCAGGATAAAATGGACAAATACTCTATCAAAAGGGTCTGGGATACTTTGAGACCAAGAAGGCAGAAAGTGGCATGGTTCAAACTGTTATGGCAGGGCAGTTCTATCCCTCGAAATAGATTTGTTACTTGGCTTATTCTGAACAGAGCCGTAACAACTAAAGAGCAGATGGTAAAATGGGGATTTTCAGGTAGTCTGGGGTGTGTCTTCTGCAATTGTCAGTGGAAACCTCTGACCATTTGTTTGCTGAATGGTCGGCCTATGAGGTATCTGGGTCGACCTTTCATTTTGTTCGCTTCTCAAAGAGGTCGACCATTTGCTATAAAAGGTCAACCGCGTCGTTGAATCTCACAAAACTGAAACAGCAGATTAGGTCGACCTAATCCTATATGAGATCGACCGAAAAATGAGAGTTACAAAGTTATTATTATTATTTATAATCAACTCTTTTTTAATGAACGAGTTGCTATTATTTCACAATTTCGTTTTTTTACATTTGTGGAAAATACCCTCCTTTTAGCTGTCAGAAAATTCTGTTATTTTCCGTTATCGGAAGAAGGGGCGAGAGAGAGAGATCACGATCCGAACAAAACGATCCAAATGCAGAAAACCACTCTTCCCCACACAACAAACAGACTCTGAAGCAACACAGAGAAAACAGAGGCAAGACTCCCCAAATTCTCCCACATCCCCCCTCCAAATTCCACCAATGGCGTCCTTTGATTCCTTCGGCGTCGAAGGCGAACAACCGGTCCTCCCCTCCGCCGCCCACGTTCCTCCACCGTTCATCGACAACGATGACCAGGGCTTCATGTCCCACGACCACAATTCCTCCCACCATTTCGACGACTCCTCTGCTGCTGGCTTCTTCTCCGCCTCCTCTCCCCCTCCCCCTCCCCCGCCTCCAGGGTCGCACCCCATCTCCGGCGATTCTCCCGACTACAACGGCGGCGGCGGCCTCGATCCCCATTCTCAGGAAATGTACGGTTTCGGGCCCGCGAACCAGAGCACCGATTACGGATCTCCGTTCGACGCGATGGAGAATGCAAATGGTGGAGGTGGAGGTGGAGATGACGGTAGTGTTTTTGTTTCCGGCGGACCCGTTTTGCCTGATCATACTCAGATGGTGGAGGAAGGGTTCCAACGACGAGAATGGCGACGGTGAGTCTTATTTCTTAAAATTTTATTTCTACTTCCATTTGTTCCAAAAACAGGGGTTGGGGAATCAACTTCAGGGGAGAAGAAATCATGATCCAATTACCGAATAGAAGTTAATTCGCTCAAATCATATTGAATTCTATTGGTAAGAAGAAGAATAAGTGCTGAAACCTCGATGATTTACAGTCAGAATGCAATCCATCTGGAGGAGAAGGAGAAAAAGGAGAAAGAAATGAGGAACCAGATCATAAACGAAGCTGAAGAATACAAACGCCAATTCTACGAGAAGAGAAACCAAAACTGCGAGACCACCAAAGCACAAAACAGAGAAAGAGAAAAGGTTTGGTAACAAAGAAAAGAGCCAATTTTGTTTCCCCTCTGCCGAACGAAATCTGAATCAGTGAATCCTCTGTTTTCTTTTCCCCTGCTGCTGGCAGCTGTATTGGTCGAACCAGGAGAAGTTCCACAAAGAAGCCGACAAGCATTACTGGAAAGCCATAGCCGAGATCATCCCACGAGAGGTTCCCAACATTGAGAAGAGGAGATCCAAGAAAGAATCGTCCTCCGACCCGAAATCGGCCTCGGTGATTGTGGTTCAAGGACCAAAACCAGGGAAACCCACTGACATGGTGAGAATGAGACAGATCATCTTCAAGTTGAAGCAGCACCCTCCCGCCCACATGATGCCGCCACCTCCAGAGAAGAAGAAAGAAGACGGGAAAAAGGAAGGTGAAAAGGGAGCTGAAGCGGCCAAGGATGGGAAAGATGGGACTAACAAAGATGGTGCTGCTAACAAGGAAGAGAAAGACGGGAAGAAGAATGTGGATGAGAAGAAAAGCTCTGCCACTGAGGCAAATAATAATGGAGGAGGTGGTGGTGACAGCAATAAGAAGCAGCCTGGTTCAGATGATAAAGATAACACCGATAGCAACAAGAGCTCGTCTAGTAACTTTGCTGCTAACCAGTCCAAAACAGAGGACCCTCTTGCTGGAATTGGTCAGGTTGAGAAACAGGGGACATCTAACAAGTGATCGTCTGATTCATGGGAAACCCACATCAGTTCCTTTGATTCTTTGCTCCAACTTTGGTCTTGTCATTCTTTGATTCTTTGTTTTTTTTTTTTTTTAATGTTGTAGCCATTTCATTGAGGCAGAAATAAGGTGGTTACTTAATTGTTATAGGCTTATAGCTTGCTCAACCAGTCAATAAGATGGACTGGTGGAGAGCTGCAAGAGCTGTTCTTTTTTTTGGGGTTTACCTGATAATTAGGGTTTACATTGGTATTTGTAGGGCATCTCTGCCATTTTTGCTCCTATTAATTAATTATGTAGCAAACATCTCAACACTCAAATGTATTAGCTCTATTCAGTATTCAGCATTATAGGCCACCTGGACAAGGTCAGAATTTTGTGTTCTATTTGATTTTGGATCCATGCAAACTACTGTTTATCTTTTTGTGCTTCCCATCCTAATTAGAGTATTCAATCGGTAAACACCCCTGAACCACAAATTCACAACACAAGCAAACCCCAGAAAAATGCATATGGATCCATGGATACATTCAGTTATATCAACATGATGAGGAAGATAGCAGCTTTCTACTTCAGAAACAGTAAACTAGAACACAGATGTTCAAACCCTATTCTGATCATATGATGTTAGCGTCATTAGTGAAACCTTGGTTATGGTGGGAAATATTCACAAGTGTGCAATAGGGTGGTCCTGGGCAACAACTAAGTACTAACACATGGCCTTCCGTCTTTCCCATATTCTGGTTTTCTACTACCTCTCCATACTCTTCTGCTGCAAATTCCAATCGATGATTCGGATCCAATTACCTGACCTGAAGATCATATCCAAAACGGATTAGGAATGCATTGCACTGCAGATTCCAAGAAAATCATGCCATCAACTTCTACAAACAGCACAAAGGTAAAGCAAACACAATCCTTAAACACAATCACTATTCACCCTAAATCCCGCATAATACGAAAAGCTAAAAGTCACCTTGCTAAATAAAACTTTCTTGCTATAAAATAAGAATTTGTTACCAAAATCATACTCGGAATACACCAGACCCTAGAATTGAATCTTTAAGAACAATCATCTAAGAAAATATATCTATCTAGGTGCTAATCATCAATCCACCACTTATCAAATTGAGGGTTGTCGGTATGGAAGTCATCATTCACAATGCAGAAAAGTAAGCACAAATCAGTGGACTATGTGAACTAGGTTGCATGAACTGAAGAATGGTATAGAAAAGAAAGACCAGACCAATTGGCTTGAGCAAATTAGCAAATGGCAGAATTAAGTACCCTCACCTTCTCGTTGACTCTTATACTCCATGTGTCGGTTCTGGGTGCAAGGATAGGGTTACCAACGACATACCCAGGGGGGAAAACACGATGCCTCAGAAGTGGTGATCTTTCTGGAATGTAATCGTCGTCACTGTCATAATATGGATGTGGGCCAAGGCCTTTGAGCATCACTGCGAGGAGAACGGATAGTCCCTGAAGAATATAGGAACAGAAAGTTAACCATTTAAGTACGAAACAGGTATTGGAAGGGAATTCTGCTGGTCCCCCTAGATATGTAAAATGAATCACAGAAATGATAACTTGAATTCTTTGGGGGTGGGGGGGGTGGGTGGGGGGGGGGGGGGGGTAAAAATGAAAGTTATGAGACCAAGATATTGACCAGACTCAAAAGCTCAGACATTTGGGATTGATGGGTGATAAAATTTTGACCAGTCTTAGATCATAGAGGTAATACAGGAGGTGCTTGTTATGACTTGTAAGAAATTTATTTTACAAATGGACAAACTTACAAGATAAGTTGGGGATCCCATCCTTTATTATATGGTTGTTTTAGGGTTCAGGGTTAAATAGAGAAATTGTCTTCATCTTTCTTTTGTGGATAAGTGACTTGCTCTAAAGAAACGCCAAACAAATTCAAAGTAGATTTACACTATTAGACTTCAACTTAAAATAAGCCACTATAAGTCATAACAAACACCCAAGATCAATCTCACAAAGCCAACAAAATCCAAGCGGATTCTGGAAATTGACCTCAGAAACAGAAGACAATCAACAAATAAATGCATTGCTACGGCTTGAAATTGTGAGGATGATGGAGAAGATACCTGGACAGCCACAATTGACAAGCCCACCCACTTGCATATCTCAAAGTGCAACCGAATGAAGTCTTTGAACTTATCAAAACTCCCACTTGGGTCTTTTGGGAAGTCCTAAGAGAATTGGAAATCGCATGATTCATCAGGTCAGCATTTCAATTGTAGTAGCATAAAACTCATAGAAACAAGAACACTGTCAGTTTTTCTCTACCTTTTCCCAATCACGGTTCAGAAATACATCTGCGGTCACAGCAGCCTCCACCATTACAAGCACGAACATGAACATCATATACTATCCATTTGTCAAGGTGAAATCAGTGACACTTTGAACTTCGTCAAAAAAAATCAGTGACACTTTGAACAGCAGAATTTCAGCTCATGGTGAAAACATTGAACATTTTCTAAGAAAGATCTATCAGGATTCATGACATTCAAACTAACCAATTTCGGGAAAGGATACCAGATAAAGGCAACAACCATTAGCGGTTTCTGCAGAAACATGGCCTAAACATGTGATGACACATAAAGTAGCGCCAAGACCTAGGAAAGAGTAAATGAACCTGCATTCCACAAAAGCAAACTCATTAGCCATCCTTAGGAAACAAAAATCAACATCTTGATTGATTAGCAGTGACAAGACATCTAACTAAGATCAACAGATCCTAGCCCAAACATTTCCTGTGTTTCAGGAATTACCTCCGCAGAAATATCTTTCCAGTTTACACACTGTCATCCATGCCAATTCAGTCAACAAAATGGTACTAACTATTGAATCAATTGAAACCAAATCGAACCCACAAATCGCTTTGTGAGATCGATTTTCTTTGAGTATTTGCGATTGAAGACATTTTGTGGTGACTGGCTGGCTGCATTTTTCTAAAGCGAAAAACAGTTTTCAAGATTCATAAGCATTAATAAATATTCAGGAAGTGAAAGGTTAGAAAAAAGATATCAATCTGCCTGCTATTTTAGTGCTCTACTTCATCAGGAACAAAACACATGGACAGACAGGCAAAAGGGAAGTGTTTATAAAAACCAAACTTTCTATCAAACCATAGTCCATGAATAAGAGACACGAGATGGGTACCAAGTAAAAAAGTTTATGGCCCACTTGAAAAGCTTCCCGTTGGAACTAAGCAAACAAGCAACTCATAGTGGAGACATTCTTAACAGATGCATTTGAAACTAACTGCCAGCAGGGCCACCTTGTAATCCCTAACTTCAAGAACCAAAGCTAACCATTTCTCCTTACAGCAGCCAGACGAGATAAAATCTACGTGTGTCCCTTTCCCCAGCTTCAACTGATCAATGAGTGGTTCGAAAGCTTAGCAGAGATGCCTAAAAAGGCTCTATAACTTTGACATGGATTTGCACACTCAGAAACTACCCACGAAATCAGACACAACCACAATTCAAATCAAAATGTAGAGAGAAAAAATAGAGAGTAGAGAGATCAATATACCATGGAGCAGGGTAGTTCTCGTCTTCTCCAAAGGGGAATTCGCCAATTTCTCTCTGCCAAGCCTTGATCAACCAAACCGCATACAACACCATGGCCAACCCAACCATACCCACCACCGAATTCACCAGCTTGAGTATTGATTGAACGCAGCTCCTCATTAACCTCACCATTGCGGCTGCTTCTTGGTAGCACCACCAGCGACAACCCAGAAACCCAAGTTCAATGGGAAAGAAACAAAATTTCTTTTAGGCGAAGAAAACCCCAGATGAGAAGGTTCGATCTGGGGGCCTCTGATGCGCGTCAGGAAGGAGGAGCCAGCAGAGACGGGACAAGAAAATGATGTAGTTTCTTGCGAGGCGGAAGCTTCGTGGCCTTGTGTCTTGAATTGGCGTGGGAAAATAGTAAAACCCTAGCTAACTTCCAAGACTTCCAACCAACGGGGCAAACAAACAATGAAACAAACAAACAAAACTGAAGGGAGAGAAGAGTGTTTGGTTTGTAGTTTTGAGAATCTGCTTATTGAATTAATGTTCCTCACCCATTGGATTGGACGGACTGTTTCTTTGCTGGGATTTACGGATTCGCCGGGCGGATCTTACCTTTGCCACAGAGTTGGCTGGCGGTGGTGCTTTTTCTGTTTCTCTCAATGCGTTTCGATTTATATCAAACTTCTACGTCAACAAGCAAGTCTCCTCAGAGTTGAGTTGTGTGACTATAAAATACAACAAGTCATCATGTGTGTCTTTTTTAATTATGCATGTGGCATAATTGTGCATTAGACTATTACTATCATCAATATGTGAACCTTACCGGATTGTATAGGGCCAAACTGATGTTTGGGTTGCACCATACCGAATCAAATATAATGTGGTCCGATCTTTTGTCCCATAAATTTTATAATACTGAATAAAAATGGATAGAGATAATATTTGAATTGGACCAAATTAGATAGAATCATAGAAAGCATATTTGGTTCGATTCTTAGTTCTAAGATATATGTCACTATTAAATCGCAATTCTCATAAATTTAGTCTGATTCAAACTGTTGTACACCCTAATCAGTGTAACTAAAACCTAATTTTTGTTAATTATGGCTATGGCCATATGATTATTACATTGCAGGGATAGTTCACAGTTGTCATCAATAGTATAGTCTGTTTAGGAGGCTGAATTGCAAGTTTGGTCACCCAGATTATCAATTTGTTTCGAGTTTGCCACTCAGAAATTTTCCTTTCTTAATGGTTGCCGACTTTCACATTTTATTTCATCGTTGGTCACTGACGTTTGATTTTGTTAAGTTTATCCTATGTGGTAGTCAATAGTCAAGTTTGACCGATAAAATGATGTGACAATTAAAAAGTAAATAACTATTTTATTTTGTCAATACATGTGTTAGCGAGAGAAATGCTTTATTCCCCAATAGGGACTCCACATCGTCGAGTCGCAGTATAGCTATTCTACTAACAAGGTAAGTTGTGAGTATATACTCACATGGTGAGGATGGAGGCCACATGGGTAGATCTGGAAGTTTGTTATCGGTATTTTAGATATACCGAATACTGTACCAAATTTATCACTATTTAGTATTATCGAATATCGGCTTATTTTTTAGGAATTGAAATTCATTTTGGAGTGCTATTTGGTGTTCGGGATTACGGGATTGGGATAGGTATATACCGAAATACCGAGAAATACCGAAAATTGAAAATTAATGAAATATAGCACACAGCCTTTAGTCATTCCTCACTCTTTCACAACTTAGAAGCCCCAATCCAACTAATTTTTAACTTTCCAGTTTAAGTCATTCTCGTATCTCATCTAATCTCTTGTTATTTTCATAACACAAAAAAAGTTGTCTTTCACAACACTAGTATTAGTTGTCTCTCTGCCTCCAATTCGTCAAATTAAAGATTACTAATGACAAGAATTTGGGATGTCACCTCTCCTCCATTCTCCTTATCCATATCCTAGCTCTAGGCAAACTCAAGACTCTTTGTCCTAAATTAAATAATCAAATTTAATTTATATATTTAATTAGTAATTGCAAAGGTAATTAATTTCGTATTCGATTATACCGATTGGGATACCAAAATATTTAGGGATTGGGATTTGGATTGACTTTAGGGTGTAATTCGGTATTCGGGAAGGTCTCATTTAAGTGGATTTTAGTAGATTCTTAGTTGCTAGCCAAGCCAGCCGAGAGAACTCGTATCCAGCCTAGTAAAACTAATATCCAAAATGCATGAACTAGTAGTCAAGTCTGCTGGTTTTATGAAGTAGTACTAAAGTATACATGAGAGCACATACTACTATCTAGAGAGGACAGACTAGTATTCAAACATCACAAAACTAGTATCAAACTCACAGAATTAGTATTCAGCCAATCAATTACCAACTAGTATATCAGGGTTGCTAACTGATATCTACCATGAAATCAATTATTATTCCACATTCACGAACTAATATCTAGACAACACTTAATAGTATTCGTACATCACATAATTAGTATTCAGTGAATCAATTACGAACTAATACCCACATTCAAAACAACTAGTACTCAAGGTTAGCTAAACGATATCCAGCATGAAAACAACTATTATTCCACAATCATGAACTAATATTCAGACAACACAGAATAGTATCCATACATCACATGATTAGTATTAAGTCAATCAATTAGGAACTAATATCCACATTCAAAACAACTACTATTCAAGGTTTGCTAAATGATATCCTGCATGAAAACAATGCGTATTCCACACACGAATTAATATCTAGATAACACATAAGAGTATCTATATTGCACACAACTAGTATTCAGATAAAAAAAATCATTCACGAACTATTATCCATGGCATTAAATAGCACCGATCTACAAAAACAAAACACAAAAAGACAAGAAACAAAAAAAACCGAAAAATTCAACGAAAAAAACCCCCAAAAAGGCAAGACACCAAAAAAACCCAGAAAGCCAAGAAACCATAAAAATAGAACAGTTTGTGAGGAAAAGCCTACCACAATGAACAAAACCCGCAACATCATATCTTCATTAGAGGCACTTCAAACTCCAATGATTCAAAGATTAGCAAGACCAAAGTAGATATAAATTCCTAGAGAGAAGGAAGAGTAGAATTTTCAAAATAAAGAAGAGAGAGAGGTATTCTCAAAACATACGGATACTATATTTGTATTTTGGATATTAGTTTCTCGGCTGGATACTAGTTCTCTCAGCCCGTTGACTCTCAGCCAAAAAGCCACCAAAATCCACTTAAATGAGCCCTTTCCTGAGCCATTGAGCCCCAACCCTTGGATATCCACTCCCTCCATGTGGCATTCATATTCACCGTGTGAATATATACTAAAAATGTGAGTGTTAGCATATTAACTTTTTTCGCCGAGTCGAGCCAGAGTCTGACTTATTTCCTTCTAAGTGAAGTACAGAGTCGACATCGGAGTTGTCAAGAGTGATGGTGAACCTTGGGTCTCCGATTTCGGAATTGTTTGCGCTCTTACCCTGCAACGAAACCAAGAAGTCAAAAAGCAAAGGGGAAATTTGTTGCCGAGCAGCGGTCAACATTTTGTTGGTTACGTGTTTCCCCTCTTCTGACCGAGTTCACGCCGCTCCAGCCGATTTCAGCCACCAGGACATTGACCGAATTCATCCTTTCCCGCCTGTAATCCGCCGCCCTTGCTGAATCTTCAAGACGGGACACAAGGGAGAAAGAAATGAGCTTGTGTTTCAGGATAAAGCAGATCTGCAGATCCCCCTCCCTTCTGCTTAACGCGTCGTCGAATAAGAATCTTTTTCCTTGCTAGACCTACTAAGACTAGCCAGCCTTCATCAGTGACGTTATCTCCTTTGGTGGTCACTCTCAAGTCATTCTGTTTGGTCTACAGAGCTTTATGTGTCGATCGTCTTGTCTCTCAATTTCAGCGGCGTCAGGGAAGATTTCATCGGGAGATAGGCTCGAAGAAAAAAAAAGAATTTCTCAAACTCTTTATTAGTGGAGATCACACGCGGTTTGGAGAGGTCGACACCAACAACGTGGCCGATGTCGGCAGCGTGGTTGATGTCGGCGGCGTAGCCGATGAGGAAGACGGTGACCAAGATGAAGGCGGTTCCACCAGTGATGAAGGGATGGTGGTGGCCAAGTCGGGATGTGAAGCGATCGTTGTGGTAGTCGTCGGCTCTAACTAGAGGCGGGTGCAGAGAGATTTGAGGATTCTTGGAATTAATTAGATTAGAGAAAACGATTGGAAAAGAAGGAGGCGACGTGGTGGCGGAAGAGTAGATGATGATCTTGCGGGGAAGGGATTTCTATTTAATTTTATTTTGGTGAAGGGTTTTCTTTTTTCTTTGGCACGCAATGAGACGGATCCTGCCGACAATGGAGGCACTATGAGAGAAGGGTTGCACCGTCCATGCGAAGTATCTGGTTTGGTGGGCACTGTCACGGACCAACTCTTAGTCGTGCGGTACTTAGCACTCAGGTCTCGTTAGAGCACTAAGTCAGCCTAGCGCGAATTCACTCAAATTCACAAGTTGGGAGAAACTCTAGAGATGGAAATCTCTCAATTTTTGGATGAATGACAAATGAGGGAGAGGGATGCTTATATAGGCATCCTCTCCACTAAGTACAATGCATGTAGGCCATCGTTAATGAATGAACCTAAAAGTTCCCACATACATGAACTTGCCCCATATATAAACTAGTGATTGACCGTTATATGTACATGTTTTGGCCACCATTATTGAACCGTTTGAGAATCGATTCTCGTATTTTAAGCCGATTTCATGCTAGGTTGTGCGTTTATGTCATATTTCAGGACTTGGCGTGAAAATGGAGGCTTGGAAGCGAGTTTTGGGTCGAAAATAAGATTTGGCGCCTAGGAGTAGCTGGAGATCAAAATACCCGGTCAGGACACTCAAATACCCGACCGGGTATAATCTGCTGGGAGAGAGGGTATTCGACCGAGAGAGCAAAAAAAGAAACATAAGGGGGCCCGGTCAGGAACCCAAAATACCTGACCAGGTATTTTTACCCTAGGCCGGGTATTTCCCCTGAGCTGCTGCGCTGCGTTTCATAATACCCGGCCGGTCCTCTGAATACCCGACCGGGTATTTGGGCCGGGTATCGCGAGTTACAGCTCTTAGCTGCGAATTTTGGGATTTTGAATGGGGAATCAAGTTTTAGAGTAAGAAACAGAGGTTTAGAGAGAGAAAGTGACAAAGAGAGACCATTGAGCACCCTAGATAAAGTTCTACACCATTGGAGCTCGATTCAAGCCTCGAGGAGAAACGATTGATGACCCAATGCCAATTTCTTTCGCCTACACGATGATTTCCATATCCAGTATAGCTTTCCACTCTCTCTCTATGGAGTAATCCCCCTTTATTACTTGGGTATGTAAGAACCCTAGATTGTATGTTAGGATGAGTTGTATGACCCCCTTGCCTTGAATGATTGATTGATTTATATCCAATTGAAGTACTTTCTCTAAATTACTCGAGTCCTGATCACATTCTAGTGATTCCTGCTTTGACCTAGAAGGATAATCTCTGCATAGGTCAGCAGAGCACCTTGAATTGGAAGTAGTGGATTGGCGACCTTAGTCGGGAAGT